GGATGGAGGGAGATCGAGGGGGGGCTGTGTGATATCTAGCGCACATTCAGCGCGACGATAAATTTCCAGGGCAAAATGTGTAAATTATAAATACGAGCAATTATTTTAACTCTACTTAACAAATTACCATGCCATAGCATATGGGGCAAAAGGTATAAATTACCGTCTTTTACGACTTGCGGAAATTGTATGGCGACGACGATGGCAGGTTGTATGTGCGTGTGTTCGTGTGTGTGTCTGTGTGTGTGTGTGTGAAAGTCGGTTTAATTGTGTGTGTGTGTGCTTAATTGTGTGTTTGTCAGAGGCGTCGACGTCGGCGGTCGGTTCAAGAAGCAGGACCCGTTGCTGCTTCCTGTGTAGGCACACCCCACATTTTTCGAAAATGTTGAAGCTCCATTTAAATTAATTTGACCAAAGATCTTTGACAATGAGTTTGAGTCCGATCGCATGCTCAACAAAAAAGTTCCATACAAACATTTTTCCCGATTCTTCCACTCATGCGGGTGGAATTTTTCGAAACCCCGTCTTAACTTGCACCTCCATCACATTAGGTAACTACAGTAAAAGCTTCTTTCTAGGTCTTACGATTTGGGGTGATTTTTTAGTCACTCAGCCAGGAGATAGATAAGGGCAGCAATCATCTAATCATTAGATCATTAGTTTAAGTTGTAAGAAAGAACCCGAAAGTGAAATTTGTAATAAACAGCCCTGTTCATGATTCATGATAATTACACATGAATAATTTACACGTCTACGCGCTTTTCCAAAGCAATTCATTATAAAACATTTCGAGTCGACTCACTCTGCTCATCCTGAACGCCCCGTTTCCAAAAGCTGTAATGAGTTGTGGACTACGACAGCTGCATTCATTGCCAAAACTGAACGTTGTATTACCAAAATGCGCTTTGGATTTTCCTTCTGCACTGCCTTTGATGTCTTTAGACTGCGCAAAAATGTTTGGCGCAGCAGTTGGAAGGCAAAGGCGCGCGTGCAAATATAATTTATGGAGACCATCAACAACCCTTAGAGCTGGAGCTCGGATGATAGATGGCGTGCCAGAATGTCTGCCATGCCCTGGCAACCATGGCAGCCAAGCGGAGGCGAAGCAAGTTAACCCAAAACCCAAAATATGCTGCGGGCGATATATTTCTCGCACTCACTGTCATCGCGGCCATGTCGAGAGTGCAAGTGAGAACGACAGAGAGAGAGAGAGAGAGAGAGAGGGAGTGTAGTAAAGTGCCGAGCACTTTCAAATTGAAATGTCGTTTCGGCTGGCGCTAGAATTTTTCATTGCCAATTTCTTGAAGAGCAGTCGCCAGGGGCTGTCAGAAGCTGCCAGGGCTGCCAAGGGCTGCCATATTTCTGCCATATTTCTCGAGAGCCAACACAAATGTCACATCAATCTTGTGACCAGTGTTGCGTAAGAAGTAAAGAAAATATTCATTTTGCTTTGGCCCCCCAAAAATAAATCAAGTTTTGCGACGCTGCCGCATGCGTAAATGATTAATGACCTGGCCATTTGGCGCGAATTTCAAATGAAGTACTACACCAGCTAGTTTATATATGTACCTACGTGTGTACAGATATTCGGAATAACTAGTTTTAAGTTAACTTTTATAAATAAATTGCAAATCGAATCTGAATGAAATACATTGTTTGCCTGATTTTTAATCGTAAGAAGGTAGGAATCGCAGTTTGCATAGCATTCGACTCCGTGAATCTAAAATTCTTATTTTGGATAGTAAGAATATATCGATAAAATCGATATCATAAAGTATATATGTATATTTATTTTTGATCAGTCAGTGGGTTTCGAACTAGTCCCTCAGTTTGTAAGCTATCTACATTTGTCGGAACCAGCTGGATCGGACCGCTATATCATATAGCTGCCATAGGAACGATCATTCCAAAAGTAGCTTCTTTTATGAACAACTTTTTTGTTTATCAAGATATCTTGACCAAACTTGGCATTTATAGGTTTTACTATGTTCCCCACATTTATGCAAAATCTTATTTACATCGTAGCAATATATCTTATAGCTGCCATAGGAACGATCGGTCAAAAATTAAGTTTTTGTCCGGCAAACTTTTTTATTTTCATACTCGGCATTTTATATTTACCCTGCAAAGCAATATTAGCATAATGAAAAGGTTCGTACTGCAAGGGTATTAAATCTTCGGCGTGCCGAAGATAGACATTCGTTTCACCCTTTGTCCATTAAAAGGGTAAAGAAAGTGAAAACCTACCTGTTGGTAGAGGAAGGTTAAGGGTATTCCCGACTAGAGCACTCTTACTTTCTGTATTTTCTTATTACATATGAGGAAAGCTGGACGCTGCGTACAGGGTAGCTCCTAGTTGGGTTGAGGTTGTAGGGCCCAGGTTTTGGGAACTCTTTTATCTATGTGTAAGTACATTGTACGACAGATATATGACAACTGACCTATATAGGTCAAGCTTTTCTGCCTTCAATTACTTTAATTACCAATGTATCTCAGCATTTACGTCTTAGCTAAACTAAAAGTATATTAAAAATCATAATCATCCAAAGTAAATAGTTGGATACGAAAACTTTAGATAACTCGTTAATGTAAAACAAAATAGATTTTACACCAAGCAGATGCTTAATTTTGGTCAAACCAATAGGTCAACGGCATGTCATTTAAATAATGCTCGCATGTGGCGATGCTATAACCGATGTCGCATTGCCACATTGCCATCTTTGGTAGGTTTTCACCTGCTGACTTGGCCACGCTTCAGCCCCAGAGACTAGCATGATGTCTGATAATTTTTAAAAATTTTGCGGGTCAAAACGATTGGGCGCCTACAGAGGAGGCAAATGCGGCGTCGAAGACAAGCGGGGTGCGACCAAATGGACAGCTGCTTGAATACCCTGTACGCCGTACCAGAGGCACGTCTCAATGCAACAATAAATGATGTTTTAGCTCTGGTGAGTACGAATATGACAGCAAGATCGTTTAAAAGAGGAGTGTTTTATCGTCCATCAGCCTCGGCTGCACAGCTCCTACTGCCAGGCGCTGTGGCACCGACAACGGCAACAGATGTTGCTGTGGCAGTCTTCTTGCTGCATGTGGCGACTCATGTCGCTGATTAGCATCGCCTTTGCCACTCGTGTCAGCGCGATAAGCTCTCAAGCCGCATGCCTCATGAGCCGTGCTTCGATGCGAGCAGATGCCGATGCCACATTTCATTGCCAAACATGCTTTTTATCATGCGGCTTCAAGCTTGTGCAGCCAAATAAGCTGACGAAGAGTGCTTGCTTAGGTAACTCGAGGAATTATATTTACCCACTTTAAATCGTTATATTTCAATTTCCAGTTAACACTTGTTTCCCAGTATGTTAGAACATATTGCTTTCCATATTTACAGCATTTACTCAAACAAGTTATTTTCGCGATTTTACGAGAATTTACACTTGGACAGTGGGCGGAGCCGTATTTACTGAAGAAGGAGAATCGGGAATGTAAATATAACAAGTAAGAGGTTCTAATCGGGAGCTCCCGACTAGGGGATACCCTGAAACCGCTTGATTTATCGATTACTTGGAAACGGGGCAAGCTATCGAATATCGGAAACAAACTCGATCTGCGCGGGCACTAGGAGGACCTACAGCTAAAATTTCTCTAGCTCTTATAGGTTCTGAGATCCTTGCGTTCATACATACGGACATTTGGACGGACGGACAGATGGACGGACGGACAAACAGACGGACATGGCTAGATCGACTCGGCTGTTGATGCTGATCAAGAATATATGGGGTCGGAGATGCTTCCTTCTGCCTGTTACATACATTTGCACAAATACATAATACCCTTTTACCCATTTTCAATGGGTTCAGGGTATAAAAATATTTTAGGACTGTGTGTGAAATCCGAGGTATGCTTAAGAACTTATGTTTCAAAATTAATTTGAATGAAATATATCGAAAATAAAGATAAATTTTTTTAGTACATAGATTTGAGCTTTTAAAGTTTTTGAAAAGATTGTAGCAACTCGGGGTTCGGATATAGTATTTCTTATCTGTGACATGCACTACGAATTTCAAATGTCCTCTTTTACACATTTACAATGGGCATACCCTCGAAAAAATAGAACATTCAACTTAGGTGCAAATGCGCAATATTGCCTAAGCCTGAGTACCTCTCAGGTTGGGAACTTTCAATCTGTGATTTGATGACCATCAAAGGTTCAACTAGCTTAGTTAAAACCGATGAAGCTCCGTTTTGTCGTATACTTATTTCAATTTGAAAGTTTAACAAACAGTTTATCAGCAGATAGAAAATATTAGTATTTGTGCTAAGCTCAGGAAACTTGGCTCTTCCATCGATTTTTTCCATCTTTCCGAGATTTGTATAAAGTGTATGCATTCATCCATAGCTATGAGTGTGCATATATCAATTTGAAAGTGGCAACCTAACAAGAAACCTTCCCGCTGAGAACTCGCATGCTGTTTTCCCCCATTCACTGACCCGGCTCCCTCCTCCACATGTTTGGGTGCAACTTCTCTTGCTTCGGCAGAGTCTCATTAGCTGCTGCATTCGATGACGCCAAACAAGCCACTTAATTTAAATTTAAATGTTTACTTCTCGCTTTGCGTGTGGGGCAAAGTATTTGGTTTTCGTTCCCTTCCCCCCCCCCCCCTCAACCGCCTACCGTTCCTTTCATCTGTCTTTCGCTGTCACGACATGCCAAGATTTATTTTTGGTATTCCACGAGCGACTAAAATGCGCTGTCAGCGCAGCAGTTGCTGCCATACGTCGACCCATCGTTCCGTCCTCTTGTGTAGCGACAGCTACATTAGCGTCTGATGGTGGTCCTCTGCCTGGTCGGCTCCGCCCCGCACCTTCCCCCCCGCCGTCCGCCTCGCAGCGTCCGCAGGGACGGACCAACTTTGAGTTCCCTCTCATTGCACTTGACACCCGAAATTGATGCGCCTTGCGCCCAACCCACATTAATTAGGCAAAATATTGACACGTTGATGTGTGGTGTGGATATTGATTTATGCGTTGGTTGCGAGTTCAGTTTAATCAACTATTTTCAGGTTGGAATTTTCGGAAAACAAAAAATTCTATTAAAATATTATACCATAAGTTCTATTTGACGGAGGATTTGCCGTTGCCCTGTCAGCTGCTCCTGTTCATCTTGTCGGCGGCGCTTGATCACCTGGTATCACCTGTTAAACGGATTTATGCGAACTACCTTTTGAGGTAGCTTCCCTATGCACTGGATGTCGGCGTTGCCAAGCACATGGCAGCCTAGTAGCCGCGTTTGCAATGGTTTTACGCTTGGAACACCTATTGAACGGATTTATGCGAAGCACCAATTGGAGAAAAGCCCCCAGGCGCTGCTTGTTGGCCTTGCCTAGAGTTTTGTGGATTATGTGTTATGAAAAGGTACGAAATCAGCGGCTTTGCTTGAGAATGGCTTTATCTACCAGTTAATAGCTTACCATAGTCCTGGTTGGCCCAGTTTGATCTGTTGTTATACGCCTGTTGGGCTGACGAGTCGATACCGAAACTGGGGTCTTGAAGTGAGATGGATGATTTGATGATACTAGGAAGAACTTTCTGCTGTCGCCCGGCTGTGTGCTCTGCGAAAGAAGAGGGTTTTGAGCTCGTCTTGTTCAAGTGTGGATCATCTCTGTTGCCCTGACGCGCACAACTTTCCGTAGTTTTCTTCAGCAGGAGCCACGACTTCTGCAGAATGTTACCCTCCACAATCAGCCTCTCATAGCCCTTAAGCAGCTTTCTCACATCAACGCCGACCAGCTCCTCGGGCATGGGCTGGTCGCTGAACTGCCTGGATGTCTGACGCAGATCCTCGAAACGCTGAATCAACTGTTTGATATTACCAACGCACTCCTGCTCGTCAACCTTGTCATCTACCTCCAGGGGGGCCAATGGCGGGGCTGCCATTAATGGATCTGGCCGATCAGTGCTGATGTTCCGCAATATCTGGGCAGTCTCCTCCATAAATGTCTCTTGGCGCTTACGGAGCTCCTGGAGGCGCATCTTCAGCTCGTCCAGGTACGCCAGTTGTTGGGAGGTCGGCTGCTTGCAGGCCATCCTGACAGTCACATAAATTTAGCAACGATATAAGTATTACAGAAACATTGAGACTTGTTTTCCAAGCCCTTTTTGTGTAAATGGTTTGTGTTTAATATTTGAAAGAGTTCAACTCCTGTGTCGACTGTAGGCGCCCGGTTGACTATGTCGCAAACCGATTCAATTGAAGTTTAGGTCACTTTATTTCAGATTGTGATACGTTTCGTGCTCCAAATGACCCAAATAAAAAGTAAATTCAAGCCGAAGCGTTAATGGAATACACAACAAAATATACACGGTCTTTTTCTTGTCTTGGTCTTTTCCTCTTATATAGAATGGATTTTTGGCAATGTCTCAAAAAGCGTAGTACCCCAGCCAGAAGTACACACTGACATCTTCATCAATATCTCCCTTAAGAAGTCATTGAGTAATCTGTGGCCAGTGGAGATGTGGGACCTCCGACGGAATAACAACACACCTTTAATTGAGAGAGTACACAGCGATCGACTTGCCAGGCTCAGTTTGGTCTTCGCTGTTATCCTATTGCCTTTTATGAGTCTCCAAATTGAGATATCGCATGCAATTCGAATTGTCGAGTAAGTTGTAACCTACTGTCTGCGGCGAATCGCGAATCGCGGGAACAATGGCGATTTTAGTCGGCGCTTTGCAGATACACCTATATATCTTTCGTTAAGCTGGATGCCGTGTGGCTCTGTGCTGGGTGGGTGGGGGAGTTAGGAATTTCACGAAGCCGTTGCCAAGAAAACGTGCCGCTGCCGACGGCTGCCGCCTACCAAAAGTCCGGACCGACCGCTGCTGCTGTTGATTTCACCTGGGGGGAGTCCCCGCCCTCCCTACCCCCTCCCCCTTAGCAATAGTTGCTGCGGTTCGGTTCGGTTCGTTTGTGCCTGCAATTGTTGTTTCATATTTTAATGCCTGTGAGTTGGTAGGCGTGCTACGACACGATTCTCTTCGCCGATAAGCTGTTATTTTTATGTGCCGCCAGATCGGTGTTGGGTCTCTCAAAGTAAGTACTCGAGCCCCTCTCTGCTTGGCCTCTTCCCCAGGTTGGCTGGTTGGAGTGTGGGCTGGCCTGCGACTTAAAGAAGTTCAAATTATTACAGGGCAATTGTCTTGATCGTTGATTTATGTGCGCTTTTGTTGTCCGCCAGCCTCGGCTCCGCTGATATTTATTAGGCGGGCCACAACATGGCATCAGTGCTATGCAATATGGGAAGTTTATTATGGCCGCCAGTAGCCGCTATTTTGATGCATAAGGCACAGCTGAAAGGGATTCCTTTAAAGAGTCGCCTACAACTGCCTAAATTGGATGAATAATATATTTTTAATTATCTGGCATAATTTTTGCAGATTTCTTTTCTTTCAATTTGACTATTTAGTGTTTGGTCTGGAACAGATTCCATTAGATTAAAGACATTGCAACCCGGTTAATTTCATAACACGCCCCCAAACTCATCTACAGCCCTTTCAACATTATTTCGCCGTTCTCTGCACGACTGGCCAATTCGTTGGTCGAAGTTGCAGTCGCAGTTGCGAGGGCAGCCTCCAGATTGCCTCAAACTTAATGATTTCATCTTTCATTGAATTCAAATTTGTTGGCCGTGGGGCATGCAACACAACTGTGTGGACGGCGTACAGGAATGACTTCAACGTGGGCGTGCCCTCATCATACGCCCCTCGGTTCGAGTTGATATTGTTGTTGCTGTGGCTATTGCCATTGCCTTTGCAGTTGCTGTTGCTGTTGCTGTTGCTGTTGCCGTTGCTGTTGACTGTTGAAAGCCGCTGCTGTCGGCCAATATAACGAATTTATTATTTATTTCACCTGACAGCCCAAGCAACAGACTCTATAAATTTCCCTAGCCACTCGACGGCCGACGGACAACGGACAACGGCCTGGACTCGTGTCGTGGACTCGTATTTATGGCCTATCGCTGGGATGCTCGTATGGAAAAATTATTGATAAGGTTGTTGGCTATTTGGGGTTTCGGTTTCGGTTTCGGCTCTGAGCTGATTGAAATGCCGTTGCCTCCAACAGCTTTATTTACCTGGCCGCGAACAGAGAACAGAAATCAGCTGTGGCGGCATCAAACTTTATGGGCAAGCGAAAACAACTTTAACCCAATATCCTGCTTGTAGTCATAACTTGAATGCTGATTTAAGTCCGGAGCAGAGGATGCAGAAATACCCAAATGGCCGACCGCCTGGGCGCAGATTATTGGAGTCCAAGACCCAAACCATATCTACCCGAGCTCGTCCGTAGATCAGCTCTGGCCCCACGATGCGACTTGGCGCGTATTTCATTATGAATTGCTCTTAACGATGTTTCATTTTTCATCTGCGCATTCATAAAGCTTTCGCCCATTTTTCGCTGCTGTAGACTCCAAGCGGATTGTTTGCATGCCGCGAGGACGGCAAGCGGCTCCGGCTTCAGCCACAGAGACCTCGTTCGCGCAAGTGAGTGAATAATTGCAACATGGTGTTGCAAGCCAAACCCGCCGCAGAGTGGATTCGCTTCAATTATAGGCTTCCCCTAAGGAGCACTTGGCGAGTGTAGTTGCCTAAGAGAGTTATCTCTTCAATGGAATAAATAGAACTCCAGCTTGATGCGGTACTTCTTACCTCGCAACCTAATACATAGTGATAGAGATATTCAAAAGAAATGTTAGACATCGCACTAAAACAATTCACAATTCACATTATAGCAATGTTTCTCTAGAATGTAACTCAACAAAGTAAATTTTTTTTCAAGATTACATTATTTGAATATACATTTTATTTAGTCTAGATAAAACAAGAGTTTTTTTCAAAATTCAATTCAATTCTATCAAAATAGCTTGAGGTACCTTGTTAAAAGCGTGAGTTGTTAAAATTACTATAAAATATATTCGAGAGAAATTATTTTAATATATTTTGGAAAACTTTGTTAAGCTTTTTCAAAAAATTATTGTTAATAAATGGATTCTATTTCGAAAAAGCCTTCATAATTTTATAAATATTAATTCATAAAATATACAGTTATTATTATTTATTCTCGAATAGGGCGATAAAAAAGTGAGTATTTTTGAGATTAATTAATTTTTAGATTATTTTATTTTAATATTAATTTTTTTGTTATAACTTCTACAAAGAGTTTAAATATCAGTAAAAAAAATTGATGCAAAAAAAAAATTTTAAATATCACCCAAATTTCTTCATATTTTCCCTTAATTTTTATTGAAATGTCCATAAAAACTCTCTTGTTAAAGTATTAATCGTATGGGAAATATTACATGAAGTAATCCCGATTAAATTTAATTTTTCATTTGTAAGTTATAGTCGTGTAACTGAAAGCTCTGTTAAACTTTTAAGTGTTTAACTTCTGGTAGAGGTAATTTGTCTAACAATACTTCAGTTACCTTTGTGAGCCCAAATCCAATTCCCTACGCCAGTTTCACTTCCCAGCTGTGATAGAGAGAGAGAGAGGGGAAGGGTATCGCGTGCAGCTTCGCTTTCGGTGTGGCTGTCAAAGGCGCAGCGGGCAGTAAAATCGCGGCAAACACAATTGAAAAACGGGCAGATCGCAGCCGGCAGAAGGAACTGTGCCCGGTCGTGAGCGAAGGAGTGCGGCAGCAAACACTCCACACTTGTCAACAGCGGCTCTACTGATTGTCTGGGTGAACCAAGAGCTCGCCGTTTCAAATACAGACACCGGGCACACAGCCGGCCCCGGCACCGGCACCGACCAGGTACTGGCAACGGGGTCGAGGCTGTGGCTGCGGCTGTGGCTACGGCTGTGGCTGTGGCTGCTGCTGGGCTGACGGAGGCTGAAACGAGGCTCATGCTTATGCTCACAAATCATAAATTGCCGCCTTAAAATTTATCTTCAATTTTCGAGACCCCATGTGGTGCTTAGCGAATGGTGTTTTGAAATTTATTGCTGCATTTGCAATAAATATTGTCAGTTGAGTTCAGCTCGCTAGCAAGAGAGAGAGGGAACCACTAGCCCGAGAGGGAGAGAGAGATAGCTTCTTTGGCGGCAGCGTTTGCTCTGCTGCTTTATATATGTGTGATTGCTGCTGTAACGCCTCTCACACCAAATCCTCCCGCTGCCGCTCCCGTTGCCCTGCCCTGTTCCCCTGCATTGTTTATGGTCTTCGTGCATATTAATGTGCGTTGATTGCGAGCCGAGGGACTCGTGCGGGGGCTATAAGCCGCCAGTCGCGCCCCACCCTGCCGGGCCGGCAGGGCAGTTAGCAGTTAGCAGCTGCCATTGTCCCAGGTCCCAGTCAGATGGTTAATTTACAGCGCGAGAAATTGATTGCCAGTTGCGAGAGCGAACAATGAGTGGGGTGTTTCCCCAAATTTTGTTGGTTAATTGTGGCTTATTCGACATCAGGTTAGTTGGCATTTGCAACAATCGTTTATTGGCTGGCCGGCGATATTTGCCAACTTAATTGCAGTCAAGGTGTTTATACGTGTTATCGAGTCATCAGCGAACAGAAAATAATAGTCTTTAACCAGTTATTAATAAGGACTCGAACCAGTTGTGAAACTTGTCTTCGGCTAATGTTTTCAGCAATAACTGCATTCTGATAATTAAAAAAAACCCTATCATACACAAGACTTTAGATATACTATGGCATTTAACCCATACAGGATCTTGAAGGATTGTATGCGCTTAGAGTGCACCTTCATCACATAAGGTACCTACAGTGAAATTTTCAGACATACATACATACATACATACATACATACATACATACATACATACATACATACATACATACATACATACATACATACATACGTACATACATACATACATACAAACATACATACATACATACATACATATGTATATACATTTATACAAAATATCAAAAATAATAAAAAACAACAACAAAAAACACAACAAAAAAAAACACAACAACAAAAACACAACAAAAAATCACTAGACTAGCTAAGCATGAAAACCCGCAGAGCCTCCTTAAATTCTTGAGAATCGAGGAGTAGAGCACTTGGCAGAAATTCGCTTTATTTAAATTTGCATCACAGCGACAAATTGCTATTACAAAACAAATTGGAATGTGTACATATATTCATAAATGCATACATACATGCCTGCATACACTAACACACA